TCTATCACATAGAGAAGGTGTCCCTACTCTGTCCTTGCCCTCTCCAGCATTGAATGTTGGGTCTATCAAGGGAGAAGATAAGTCTATCATCTTTGGCCTCCCACTGCATACTGGATCAGTTGGAAAAATTTACCCCTTGTAGATCATGGCTCTTTGAACCTGATGAGCTGCCTCTATATCTTGGTTCTTACCCACATTTCTGGGTGGAGTGAATGGATGAGAGTTTTGGATTTTTGTCTTGGGGGATGGATGGAATTGCTAAAACCATTGCTCATCATTTAGGAATAAGAAAACAAAGACCTTGAGGATGCTTATGTTTACTCAGTAGTTATACATCCCACTCCATCTTGAAACTTCTTTTACAGTTGGATTGGGACTACAGGGCCATGCTTTGTTGCTAAGAGTATGTTTTAAGGGATGTGTGTCACCTTTAGTAGGAGGACATCAGTGTCTCTATGTTCTTCCATCATTCTCTTTCCTGATGGGTGAACTTAGTGTGGTCTGAGCTGGTGACATGGCAAGGTAAGAAACTGGGATCTGTACGCTGCCGACATAGGCAAGCCAAAGTCATGCACACCAGATTGCCTATGAGCAGGAAGGTCTTGTGATAAATCCACCCAGACTTAAAAATAAGCCTTGTATCCCCTCTCCTAGTCTTCCAAGAGTGAGGGATAGCTGGGGAAGTGATGCTTCTATGGTCCTCAGCACTTGTCCCAGACGTGGACAAGGAAGACACAGAAAGGGAAGAATATACCAATATCATAGCCAAGGACCATAGTGGGGGCATCTGTGAGGAATTCCTCCAGATGCAGAATCAGCACAGGACTTATGAAGTCAGCGTGCATGATTGTGTTGCTGTGAGGGCACTATGTCTGATTCACATCACTGTGTCAGAATACCTTGTAGCAGGTTTTTCTTTGGACCACCAGTGCCCAAAGAATGACACAGAGACTTCTTCTTAAGTATGAAAGCTTGGCCTTAGCTTAGGCCTGTTCCCAACTAGCTCTTGAAACTTAACATGTTTATATATTAACCTACATCTGACACATGGCTCATTACCTCTCCTTAGTACCATGCATCTGACTTCCTCCAGGTCTGACTGATGAGTCCCCCGCCTCAGATTCTTTTGCAGAGTTCCTATCTCTGTCCAGAAGTCCTGTGTATCCTCTCCTGCCTAGCTATTGACTGTTCAGATCTTTATTAAACCAATCAGAAGGTGCCTTAGGTGGGTGAAGTTAAACAGAGGCCCATCTTCACAGTTTACTTAAAGATTATCCCAACACTATCCCATAAAAACAACTTAAAAGTGGATAGTCATATTTGGGATATCAGTTTCAGAGACTTCTGTCCACACCCACCTGGGCTCCATTGCTTCTGGACTGAGGTAAAGAAGAATATCATGGGAGAGGAGGAGAAAGAGGGAGGTGGGGGGTTGGACAGATAGACACAAACACACACACACAGAAACAGAGACAGAGACAGACAGACAGACACCTAGAGACAGACTGATTAACTCATTTTATGATAATATGGATCGCAAAGACACATCCTCTAGTGACCTACTTCTTCCAGCTCAGCCCTACCTCAGAAAGTTTCTGGCACCTCCCTGTAATGCCATCCAATTATGAATCCATCAGTGGTTAACTGACAGCAGAGCATGTGGGATCTAGTCACCTCTCAGTGATGGATCCAACATCTGAGGACCAAGCCTTCAACACAGGAGCCATTACAAGCAGCTAGTGTCAACTTTACTCAGAAACCTACACATGCTGTGTAATTGGGCAACAAGCCAGTCACCAATCCAAGCTCCTGTGTTTTCAGCACTGAAATCTCCACAGAGGAAGTGTCTGTCTCATAGACTACAGGGAGGGTGGCAAGATGCATTTTGTGAGAACAAAATACATTCCCCAAATAGGCTGATGGATAGTCTCTGGCTGTGGCAAAGGTAAAGGGGAAGTTTTACTGTTTAGTTCCTAATTGTCAACATGACATAACCTAGAATCACCTAAACACTGAGAACCTCAGTTGAGGAATTGCCCAGATGAAGTTGGCCTGTGGGCATAGCTGTAGAAGATAGTCTTAACTGTTAATTGACCCAGACCACTATGGGTGACATCATTCTCCTGGGCAGGGTTCCTAGGCTAGTCCTTGTAGCTGGAGTTTCTTTCCGGCCTGGTTTGCCCAAAATAAATACACAAAGACTTATATTAATTATATAATGTTTGGTCACTGACTCAGGTTTCTTACTGACTAGTTCTGTCTTAATTATTATTCCATAACTACCAATCTATCTATTTCTACATGGCCTTATCTTACCAGAGGATGCCTAGCATGTCCTATCTTCCCAGTCTCTATATGGTGTCTCTCCCTGGAGGACTCTCTCTGCCCCCTCTCCCCAGCATTCTCCTCGTCTGGTAGCTGTGCCTGTCCTTTCTGCCTGGATACTGGCCAATCAGTGTTTTATTCATCAACCAATAAGAGAAACATATGGACATCCCCCATCAAGTCCTAGTCCTAGAAAGTAAGGGACTGGCTGGAAGCTGGAAGCATATAGGCAGCGGGGGTGCATTTGTTTCTCTCTGCTCTTGACTGTGGATGTAATGTGACTAGTTGCTTGAGTTCCTGCCTCTACTTCTCTCAGTGACGGACTGTGCTTTGGAATTGTCAGCTAAAATATGCCCCATCCATAAGTTGGTTTTGGTGAGAAGTGAAACTAGAACAGAAGACTTCCATGGATGTTCAGGACCTCTAGGGTGCAGCTGAGATAATGAGTTTGGGACTTTATGAGGATGGCAGGTCTTCCTGATGGAGGCATTTGCACAGCATTCCCAGGAGAACAATTTGGACCAGAGCCTTGGTCCGTCCGTTATCAGGATGTTTGTGCCATGTCAGGCTAATGCACTTTTGTCGGTACTTAACCTAATTGCCCTGTAAATCCCTGTGATTATATGCTGTTTACTTCCTAAGACGTCCTTGGAACAAGTGTGTAATTCACTTATGGGTGAGCAGAGCTGCTATCTAATCGTTATTTTCTGTTAGCATCATCGTTTACTTACCTGTTTATAATGTGAGGGACCCAGTCCTTGTATTCATAAAATTCACACTTACATGACAGACTGGTTTCTGTGGACTTTAAAGGGTCAGCCCTGTTGTCTTCTGTCCATGTAGCTGAGTGGTTACAAGGAGGTATCAGGAAGTAAATAGCAAATTGCCTCTATTGAAAAGAAGGCTTACCGTCTCTGAGAAGTATCAGACTTCTCTAAAAAGAAAACTCAGGGTTGGGAGATGGCTCAGCCAATAAAGTGTTTGCTGTGCCAGCATGAGGATCTGAGTTCAGTTCCCAGCACCAGTTTGAAATGCTGGATATGGCAGCTCTCACTTGTAATCCTAGGGCTGGAGACAGAGACAAGGGGATCTTGCCTAATTACTGAATTCCAAACCAGTGAGAGAGACCCTGCTCAAACAGCTTGGATGATGCCTCAGGAAAGTACCTGAGTGAGAGGCTGGTAGCCTTCACAGTACATCTTCACACACAGACATACACACAAACACTCACACATGCATGTGTGCCCCCACACCCACATATATTAGCACACAAGCAGTAACACACAAATCAATAAAAGAAAACAAGGTATTTTGATTTGTTTGATGACCTAACGAGCTGAAGGTAGACCAGAAGTCATTCGTGCTCAAACAGGAAGTGTACTCATTAATGTACTTTGAGATGACGTTTTTTGGAGTCATTCAGGTGAGATCAGGGCATGAGGTCAGTTTTTAAAATACACTGTCAATTTGATCAGTCCCTAGAGGAGGGTGGCATGTCATGTCCATGAACAGTGGTCATAGTTCTTGACCAGAGCAAGGTGGAGTGAGAATCCTGTGACCTTGGGCTGTTCCATATCTATGTCTGGTGATCCAAGCTGTGACAGGTGTACGACCTGGTACCCATTGCCTCCAGGGCAGCATGGAGAGATCAGGAGGGAGGTCAGAGCAGATCTGGGAGGAAGGGCCTGCCCTAGCTACAGAGGAAAGACGTGCCAGATACCCTTGGAGGATGAGCTAAGGACTGAGTATAAACAACACCATGTGTAATCTGTTGATTTGTGCCATCCCTCCACAGCCAGCCCTTGGAGGTAGAGACCCACCCCTCCCCCTTGTACCCCAGGCTGAGTCCAAGCCCACTCATGACCTTGAGTGACAGCTATGAGCATCCCACCACTGTCAGGTACCCTGCGACTTTCTAGAAGGGCATTCTTTCATTTAAAGGCCAACTGTGCAGGTCGCAGAGGGGTGGGAAGAGCCTTCTGCAGACCTCCCAGGGCCAGGACTGATTGCTGGCTTCTGCTCCTTCCCATCTTGTCTGTCATGTCCTTCTCTGAGAGGGCTAGAATGTTCTTTCCCAGTGATTGACTGGGAAGCTCTGTACACTGACTTGCAGACTGCTTTCTAAACTGCCAGTCTCAGCATCATTTGGATACTTAGTGACGGACACTGGGGGCCATCTTGACCTTAATCAGGCTAGTGCTGGCAGTCTGTTTTAGCATAGCTGCCAGGCCATTGATTTAAGCCCACATACTGAGAACCACACTCCCACGTGTGGGTCTGAAGCCAAGGTGGGTGATTTGCTGGGGAATTAGTGAAATAGTAAGGACTAAGGATGGTGTCAATGACAGGGACAGAGAGGAGTATGTCAGTCAGTAGGGGCAGTGTGCTCTTTTGCAAGGCACACTTCTTTATTTTTATTGCACTTTTTAAGCACGCGCGCATATGTATGTACGTATTGCGTGCACACACATGTGCTCATGTGCGTGTGCAGCTTGTATGTGGCTGTCAGAGGACGGCTTGAGCATGTGGGTTCTCTTCTTCCATCACGTGGGTTCTCTGGCTCAAACTCAGGCATCAGGTTTGACCACAAGTGCCTTTGCCTATTGAACCATCTCCCTCATCCTTATGGAGGCTTTCTTCTACCCTGTAAATGGTATCCACTTTTTGTTTTTCAGAAATGGAATGGCTAAGAAGGTGTGTCTTTTCAGGTTTCAAAGGGAAAGTGGACTGTGTTTCTACCCACAGAAACTGTGGTCTCATCAAAAGTATCTGTCAGGGGGTTGTGTGAGCTTGCGATCCAAGCTCCACCCCCACCTGGTTTCCTTAGCCTTGCTGATGACATCGGAACCTGCTCCCGTTACCCGTGTATCCCCACAGATGAAAAGCAACCCCAGGCCTGGACAGAATTAAGACAGACTCGTGCCAAAGGGCCCGCCAGGCTCTCCACGTCTGAACCTTACCACCCACTTCCTGTAGGGAAGGGAGCATTTTGTATTTTGAAAATCTTCGGAAGTCTCTCTGCTCTGCTAATTGAAAAGCCTGTGCACACAGGACAATGACATTGGCACTCCTGTTTTCGAATGCCTTAGTGTGAAGACGGCTACATTAAAGCTCCTCAGAGCACAGGCCACTTATCCTTCATGGTGCTCCTAGTTTAAAAGCCAGGGACTTGTAGATTTTTGTTTTCTCCCTAGCGACGTGCCATCCTGCTTTCCTCAAGGCAAACAATATTTCACAGACTCTGGCGCAGACGGCCAGACATCTCCTGCTCCTTCTCAGTTCCATCAGCTTGTCCGCTGGGGCTGGCTGTCATTCCAAGCCGCAAAGAAGCTCGCACTTCTATTCTTGTTCTGGGAAGCATATGCCGATTGGTAGAGCAAAAGCTGGAGCCGTGCCATGAACACCCAGCAGGCCACCTCCGCAGCTTTGATGTCTGAGGGTTGGGGCTTGGGGGGTGGGGACTTATGCTGTCCAAAGGTGCTCACAAACACAAGAAAGGACACATAAGAATGTGTTGGTAATTTATTTTGGAATTGTTTGCCCCTTGTTCACTCAGGGGCAGTCACTCAAGGAGCCCTGGCTGTGTGCAGGATTAGCCTTGCCCAAACAGAAGAAAGCTTTGTCCCTTTGTCCCTGGACCCTGGGAGGCAAACTTCTGAGCCCTCTGAATGCCCTACCTGGTAAAATTGTTTCTGTTCTCCTGCGGATATGGCCCATGCCAGTATTCCATGTTAAATCTACAATGTGTGGGAGAGGCTTCTACTCATACAGTGTCAGTGGGCTCTCTGGCAGGGTTGGGGACTGAGGCTAGCCAAGCACGTGTTCACCATGGAAACCATACACAAAGTCACCATCCAGGGGTCACCATAATTATAGGACATGATGCCACTACCCAGGTGTCACTATGACTATAGGACACAAAGTCACCACTTGGGGGGGTCACCATGACTACAGGACACCAAGTCACTACCCAGACTGTCACTATGACTATGGACATAGGACTACCACCCAGGTTCACCATCAAAACAGTTACACCTGGTCATCACCCATGTGATCACCGTGAAGTATGAACACCATGCATTTACTAATGGAACTACAGGACTGTAGTAGGCATAAGGATAAGGAGCTTCAGGTGACAACATTCTTGTTTTGATAATGCACAGGTGGCCACCAGTTCTTGCTGGAAGGAATCTGTGTCACTCCACTGGGAGCCTTCTTACCTGATCTCCTCTGGGCCATCTCACTTTCCTTTTCCTGTGGCTGGTTTTTATCTGGGTTGTGTCTCTGCGGTCACCAGCAGTGCTGGTATCACAGCTTTACTGTACTGTGTGTGGCCCTCTAGCAAATCAATGGACATTGCCATCTTAGGGACCCCTCCCCAGTCCCCCAGGGAGAGACTGCTCAGAAAGGTACTATGGGACACACAGAGATGAGAACACAGTGTCTCTAACACTAAGACAAGGAAGCTCGCCATTGTGGATAAACATTACTCAGTAATCAAAGGACCACAGCAAACAAGGTTGCACTTGCCACAGCTTCCCTTCCCTTCTGTGGACAGGTCCTTTCCCAGGGACAAGGTGCACTCTGGAAGTCCTCACCACTACAGCTGTAGTGGGTGCTGCCGTGGGCGATAGACATGGGTATACAAATAATGCAATTGTATTCCTTATTTAGTTCAGTGTCTTTTTTTCATCTTATCTCTACCCAAGTGACAGAAAATCCACCTCAGTCAGTACCTAGACATAGTTTGTCAGTCCTGTGTCCTCATCTCCCCTGAGTAGCATCTAAGTCTGTCATGCATACCCTGGGGCTGAAGTGATGGGGGTGGCTTTGGTGTCTACCTTGTCCATCATGGTATTCCACCATTAGCCACCATACAAAGGCTGAGTCACCTCTGAGCTAATTCATGCCATCTAAGCAATGCAGGGGAACATTAACTGCTTTTCCCCATGGCTCTCCGGCTACCTGGGAGTCTACATAACTTAGTACGCCAGGTTTTAACTGTTTAACTGTGTCTTCCTTGCCCATCCCCCAGCTCTCATCAAGCCACACTCAAGAGAGTCTGCAGAGAGATCTGTGTTCTAGCTCAGTCAACACCTACCCTAACCCAGTCTTAGTGTCCTGTGCTCCAAAAGAAGGAAATGGATGCATGGTTTCCCAAAGACTCTCACTGGTATCCATCTATAGCTCAGGCACTGATGCTCTGTCATGCAAACACTTCCCAAGGCCTCACAAAGAAGAGCATTCCATCCAGCATGTGTCTGAAGTGTCCCTCTGGTCCCTTCCCCGAGCTCATATGTTCAGCTACACGGGAGGTCATGACTACAAGCAATGGCTTGGTGGCACACAATAAAGTTGGTTGGCTGGCTGTGATTTCTTGGGCTGGCTTCATATCATCAAAGTTCATTTATTGACTCTTGCAGATTCAGTATGGCTGTTGCTGACCACAACCAAGACCTCTGAGTTATAAAAGATAGGATATTAAAAAACCTCATAGCTGGCTCCTTAATTTACAGTAGGAACCGAGTGTCCCGGCTTCCAAATGCATACCAGCACATTTTTTTCCCTTCCCACATACACGTGTGCCTGGACCACAAAGTCCCCAGTATAATTAAAAACTGCTTATGAAGAATTACATGAGGTCAATAGGATTGTCTGATGCTGAGATCCAAGTGTCGATCAAAGAGTTTTCAGGAGAATGTTACAGCCTACAGAACCCCCCTACTCCAAGTATTCTCCCCCCAACCCACATCCATATTCAAAAACTTGCATGTATCGTTGGATATGTAAGCTTGGGTGTTCTCTCGACAGAGTAAGTGTCTTTTTACCTATTTTTCTTTATAGATAAATCAGCAGAATAGGAAAACTACGATGCTGTGATAAAAAAGTAATTCCCCGCAAGTGCACATTATTTTTCTAATCACGCCCACCATGTTCAAAGAGTGCCGTGACCTGTCGATGTGCTTCCAGTGTTCTATAATGGAATACAAACGAAAAGCAAAGAGAACTAGAAACTCAAGCCATGATCAGAGCATTTAGGAGTGAGCCATCCCAGATATTTTTTAATGGCAAATGGTTCATTTTTATAAATATATGATGGCGAGAAAAAAAAACAAATTAACATGCTGATAGATTCTCTCTAAAGAAGGAACATACTTGTTCTAAATTAATATCTCCCATCTCTTGTTTACCACCTCATCTTCCCTGAGGATAAGGCTATTTTAATTAGGACTGTTTTCTTAGGAGGGCATGCATTTGTACTGTCTAACATTAGGTCAGTAAACAGCATTCTTAACTCTGTGTCTTGGCTGGGTACCTAGAATCCAGAATTCATTTGCAGCTAGTCAGGCTGAGATAATGATAATGGTAATTAAATCTCATGCTTCACTATCTAAAGATGATGATGCTTCAGGCGAGTGGGGGGAGCACTCCCCATCTATGCCGTTTTCCGACTGGTTAGGTGTGTTTCAACGACTCCACCGCATCTTTTCTTTCCTTGTTAGACTGAGAACAAGGACCAGAGGGTAGTGATGATAACTGTGATATTCTCAAATTTTTACATGTCCCAAGGTAGTATATAGTCCAACAGATGGCCCCTTGGAGCCCATCTGTCTTTGTTAGATGTTTCCACAAAACACTATAACCAAAAAATCAAGTTGGGGAGGAAAGGGTTTATTTGTCTTACACTTTAGCATTGCTGTTCATCAAACAGGGCAGGATTCCAGAGGCCACGCTGATGCAGAGGCCATGGAGGGGTGCTGCTTACTGGATTGCTCCCATGGTTTCCTCAGCCTGCTTTCTTATAGCACCCAGGACCACCAGCCCAGGGATGGCACCACACACAAGGGCTGGACCCTCCCCTGTAAATCACTAATTAAGAGCATGCTTTACAGGATTGCCTATAGCCTGATCTAATGGAGGTGTTTCCTTCATTGAGATTTCCTCCTCTCAAATGACTTTGACTTGTGTCAAGTTGACATAAATCCAGCCAGCACCCCGTCCAAAGGAACTAAATATGTGTCCACAGAGAGACATGTGTCCTTTTACAGCAGCATTATTCATGATTGTCAAAGCTTGGAAGCGACCAACATTTCTTTCAGTGAGTGATGGGATAAAACGCCTGGGAATCCAAACAACAAATATTATTCAGAACTAGAAAGAAAAGGGCAATAGGGACCTGAAGGAAACTTCAATGCATATGGTGATGAGAAAGGACCTGGTCTGAAAAGAACGTCCAGAATTAAATATAAAAAAGCCAGTGCTTGGAGATTGAGGATGGGAGAGGGATGGATGGGCAGAGATCAGGGGCTTTTGGGATGCTGAAGATATCGTGTCATCCAGTGATGGGATTTACATGGTGTTTAACCCACAGAATATACAATGCTAAGAGCAAAACTAGGGCTGTCTGAACTCTAACTGATGATGGTGGGGATCTGTGGGTTCACCAGCTGTGGCACTTGTAACCCCAATTCTGTGGGACGTTAACGGGATGGCCAATGCATGTTTGGTAAGAAGGTGTGTGAGACAGCTCCCTACGTGTTGCTTAATACTGTTGAACTTCAGATTGTGCTAAAGACATGGTCATGTGGTCACCTGACAGCAGATCTTGAGAGCGATAATGATTTGGCCAACACTGCCCGGCATATGCTGATTGGCACGGGAAGTATTTTACCTTGATTTCCTTTCTCTCCCTCTCACACTTTTGTCCTAATCTTCATCTCTTTCTCTCCCATTTTCCTTCACCATTGTGTCCTCCCCACAGTTCTGTCAAGGCAGCAGAATCCCAGGAAACTCTTCTGCCCTATTTAAAAAGCACAAAGGAGATGTTCCGTAGCTCTGTTGATACTTGTTTCTCTTAGTGTCTGTGCCCTCCACACACAGGTGGATGTGATTCCCACACACCGTGTCCTGTGAGATTTGCAAATGCTCTGTGGACAACTTTAATTCTGCGCACCTTACCCTGTGAGGTTTGCACAGGTTCCAAGCACAAGCAGTTGTGATTACTACACACTGCGGGGTTCTCAACGCCGTCTGCACACAGGTGGCCATAGTCACTGTACACTGCAAACTCTTCCACTTCTAGCTTTTCCACCTGGTGGCTTCTGGAAACCCTGTGTGGGTGCACAGTTGCTCTGCCACTGGGACCCCAGCCCTGCCAGTCTCCATCCTGTGTTGTGTACCAAGAGCAGGAGTGAGTAGACACCACCAAAAAACAGTGTGGTGGAACTCAGGTAGTATTGGAAGCACAAAGACAGGAGGCCAACGAAAGTCCTTGAGTTATAAAATCCATGACCTCTACTGGCTCGTGAGGTGAGTATTTCTTTGGGAATGACACGATGGTTCAAATGCAAGGGCTTCAGAGGGAAGAATTCTGAATTATGACTCCTGAAAGAAATGTGTAGTGTCAGCATTCATCTTGGACTCAAAATCTCTTTTTTTAAAAATAATTTATTTTTATTTTGCGGGCATTGGTGTTTTGCCTGCATGTATGTCTGTGTGAGGGTGTTGGATGCTGAAGTTAGAGACAGTTGTGAGCTGCTATGTGGGTGCTGGGAATTGACCCTAGGTCTTTTGGAAAAGCAGTCAGTGCTCCTAACTGCTGAGCCATTTCTCCAGCCCCTTAAATCTATTTGTATTTGACTTGAAGAGAATTTATGTATGTTGACTACATAGCCACAGGTATTTAGAACTTCTGTGATTTAGAGTCCTGTGTTTGCTATTATTTATGTCTTACATTGTAAAGTAAACATGTATGTGGCTGGAGAGATGGCTCAGGAGTTAAGGCTGCTCATCCAGAGGACCAGAGTTTGGCTCCCAGTACTCATATTGGGAAGCTCGAAACTGCCTGTAACTACAGCTCAAGAGGATCTGATGCCTTCTTCTTGCCTCCATAGCAAGTACTTGAACTTACATACATGTGTGTTCATGCATGCATGCATGCGTGTGTGTGCACATACACACACACAATTGAGAATAAATATTTAGAAAAATACAGGTGTTGGTAATTTACTCACCAAGGATCTATTAGAAGTGAATATGTTGATCCTGATAGAACCCCACTCAAGCAGAATTTGTTAAAAATGGAGACTGTATTGATTCACAGAAATGGGAATTCCAAGAGTAGTATTGGCTTCAAGCATAACTGGATTCAAACTGAACCATGGCTGTAAACCCCTGTCCACCCATCATCTCTGTTTATCTTTGTGCCCTCAGCTCGGTTCTGGTTTTGATGAATGTGTGGTTGAGGGACTCAGGACTTATGTTCTATTCCTTGGCAGTCTCAGAGGGGTGGGGTAAAGGGATAGAGTCCCTAGTCACGTCTGTAAGACTGGGAAACTATGATTGGCTGTGCCAAGTGCCCATCTCAAAGTCTGTGGTGATTGGCCAAATGCCTATGTTGGTTTAGGATAGAAACAATGAAGCCATGCAGCTGAACTCTGGGTGAAGAAGAGGCATAAAGACAACTTGTGGAACCAGAAGAGGAAGGGATGGCCTGTGGGCAAACAGAAAGACAACTATCTAGTGCCCCAAACCTGGGGCTTTAGAAGTCCAGACAGTGCATCCATGAGGCATGACTGCCACATACCCCTGTTTCCTGTTCCTCGCATGCCCTGCTCAATTCCTGTGATCCTCACCGGAAGGGCTTGGATCTGGAGTCACAACCGTGGAAGAGACAAGCACACAAAATCCAGCCCTGGGTTTTGCAGCAAACCTAGGAGCCAAATGCTGGAGAGAGGAATGATTCTGCCCGTAAAAAAACTGATGACTTGGATTCTCCACTGGATGCCGGGCACATCTGTCAGAGAGGCAGGCTTGCTGTGTGTGTATGATTTGGCCTGAAACTTACTTGTTTCATGACTGTTTGACAGGGAACCCTCGGTCACTCCGATTTAAAATCAGTCATGCCCTGCAAACCTCAAAAGGCCAGATAAGAATGGATGACGTTTGGTTGCATACTTTTTCGTGTGAGAGGTGCAATGTGTAAAAACTTGTGTAAGAATCAGCCAGAGGACTCTAACTTTTAACTTGCTAGCATATTTTGTACCCCCGGTTGTGTACACCTGGTATTGTGGTTGAATTCCTCTGTAGATTTCTTTTCATCTTTCCTCATTTTTTCTTTTCTAGTGTGTGTGTGTGATGTGTACCCGTGTGTGCACATCGCACACATGTGGGCATATAGAGGCCATCAGTTGACACTAGGTGTATTCCTCAATACCTTTACACTTTATTTTGAGTGGGTTAGCCTGACTAGCCAGCAAACCCCAGGGATCCTCCCGTTTGCCTCTCCAGTGCTGGGATTACAGACAAATGCCACCATGCCTGTCTTTTCTAATGGGTGCAGAAGATCCAAGCCAGGTCTGCATGGTACAAAC